AAATATATCAATTGACCTTACTGGATTAATTTAAATTAAAACGATAAGATACCTTAAAACGATATACATACATTCTAAAATTATTCTCAATTTTTTTGTATAATATTTCAATTTTAATCCCCATTCTATCTAAATTTAACCAAAATTTCAAAATATTCCTATTAAAATCTGAAATTGCAACCGAACAGAGATCGAATTTTCGACGAGATCGTGGATCGTCGTGCGGTTTCTCAGTGTTGCTGGACGAGAGTAGGTCCACTGCCAGGATTTCTCCAAGGATCCGGTATATCGAAATGTGGTGGGACTGTTATCAGAGCATCATCCGCGCTTCTATCAGCGCTACAATTATTCGGCTTGACACGGGTAGTATTCACGCACTCGATTGGTAGCTTGAAAAATTCGAGCGTGTAATTATAACCTTGGCTGCTAACTCGGATGATAGTATGCAATGGTACTTCCATGTAAGGCAGCTCTTCTGGCTTCTTATCCATGAAGAAACCGATAATGCAACGCAGAATAGCTTGGTGGGAAACCACTAAGACATTGTCAGATCTCTGCAATTCAGCAATTACCGGTTCTACACGTTGCATCGCATCTATGTAACTTTCTCCCCATGGATAACGATAGCGCAGCTTGTCCTGATCGCGCCATGCAAATTCCTGTGAATTGAAAGAATCGATTTTCAATAGATGTGAAAGATTATGTAAATTTGAATTATCTTAAACTTTCTACTACATGAAAGTTTCAGAAAGTTAAACGTTAATTATTTCAAACGGTTCTTTGGATTAAGTCTTAGAAATTTATCTTTTCAAGAAATAGATATAAGTACTTTTTACTTATATATAATATATATTTAAATTATATAAAATAAAAAAGAGACTGATTAAGAGAGTTAATCCAAAGAAATTTTCAGTTTTCATTAAGGCTATTGAAATTTGCATTAAATACAAATTGTAAAAATGTTTCAGAATGTCTTGAAACTCGTTTCAGATCTCGAATTACCTGCGGATAATGCTCTTGCATCTCCTCGTAAGAAAGACCTTCACAGATACCAGCGTGGAGCTCGTTAAGTGCCGCTACGTGTTCTTGAGGTGCTTCTACTCCACGTGCAGTCGCGATAGTCCTTCGAAGACGACTGGTTAATACGCGCAAATCAGGAATTCGCATAGCATTGAACTTTGTAGCCAATGCTTGCGCATATCTTTCGCCACGTGTGCTCAATACTGCATCGCCACCGACTTTACCCAATACGTTGAACTCGCTTTCGCCGTGCTGTAATTGAGAAGACTTCTATTTTTTTTTGCCATTCGTATAATTCAATAATTCAAGAAAAACGTTATAAATAATATTGTAATTAAAATGTAATGACATCAAAAAGAAAAAAATAAAATGGCAATAAAATCAATGAGATAAGAATAGTATAAATTCCTGTAGATAATCATATTAAGCATCAGATTTTGATAAGATATCGTAATCCTGAAAACACAAAGCGCGTTTTAATTATATATCAAACTTTATTATGAAATTATATCGTTAAAAATGAAGTGTTTATTTACGTATATTAATCCATTCAATGATTACAAGCACCATTACCTGACTCAATATGGCAATGCGCCTTATTATGTATGATTAAAAATAACCATGTCTTTAAATGTTTACTTTGTAAAACAGTATCATAGATTCGAACGTTTCTAAAATCAAGTATAAAATTTAATCGATTACCAACCCGAGAGAAATAAAGAGTATGCGGTTTGACCGTGACACTTCCAAGATATCCAAGTACGTTTGACTCCACATGGCCTGACACCTTGCAAGTCTCGATGTCCATGCTACCAGTATCGATACGGATTCGAGGATACGTCTTCTCGTCCATCGGCTCGTAAGATTTAATATAATGAGCTACTTTGAGGCGTAAATCTTCCTCAGCTCGTACCGGATCCATGCCAGCATAGTCGGCGCTATATCGCAATATGTCCTTGTAATTTCTTTCCAGAACGATCGGATCGTCGCAGATACATTCGATGAAAAGGACACGATAACCAAGTTGTCCAGAAAAATAATCGAAGATCTCGGCGCGCTGCGCTCGTGTTACCAGTGTGGCGTCCAGGATCTTCAAAAGAAAAATTCTTAATTAATATTATTTTATTATATTAATATATTTTATTAATATATTTGTATCAATACTATTCGCAATCGAATTCAATTTTCTTCAATTTCAATGAACGTTTCTTCTAATGTTTTTCTTTGTTTTATATTTAGGAAAAAGTATTCGCTTGAAAAATATTCAATTAATTACAAATTTATATATGTTCGATTCGGTTTAGAATACATTATTTTTATCAATATGGAAAACATGTTATGTATTTACTTCTTCACTATCTTTAAAATATACAATATGTAAATAATGGAATGATTTTAAGCTATCTTCTACGCCAATACGATTTCTATCATAAAACGTTAGTTTAAAAAAGTATAGTATATTAAGCAAGCAAAACTCGTAGGACAAGATTTGATTTTACTAGGAGAAAGGTAGACTGGTACGACCGGCTTCTGTCTTATCACGTTGTCCATCGTTAGTGTAAGAATATTTATATTTGTTTGCGACAATTCTTGCTCGTCTTATTTCGATGAGAAAAAAAATCAACTATATTTTTCCTTCCTGTCAAGCATGCAATGACTGGATTTGTTTCAATTGCTTCATATTGGATGCAACCGCGCGTGTTTTCGTTCAAATCTCGACACTGGATTCATCTCAAGGCGCGATTCAAATTTCAAGCTTTCGCCAATCTTCTGGCAAATGTTTAATTTTCTCGATGATGCTTACAGCTACGGAATTCCCGGCTGTGAGCCACGCGGCACAGTCATGCATTGCGTCTCGTTGGGCCAATGCTCTTAATGCTGTATTCGCAGTATGATCAGGACGAAATAGCTCATGCGACACTGCTTCACCGTATGGTTCCAATCTTTTTCTCCGGTAGTCGCTGACACTCATTACTGGAAATAAAAAAAATATATTTTTTTAATATAATAATTAGATTTTTCGATTATTCTCATAAAATTTTTTTCAAAAGATAAGTTATGATGATGAAAATATTATTAATAAGTATTATCCCAATTTAGACTTCCAGATTTAAAAATGATATCTTTCTGTATAACAGTAGATAATGAAAAGCTTGAGGAAAAGTATGTTATGAAATACTTTGTTATGAAAATGGAGTCAAAAAATTCTTAATACATTCGTTATTTCATAACAAGTCATATGTCATAAACATTTGATCACGTGAACTGTTTGCTTATGATATAAAAATCGATATTTTATAAATATGCTAAAATATGGAAATAAAGAGGATAAATAGTTAACTATGTATATTTATATCTATGAATAATCGTTAATGAAAGAAAAAAAAAAGAATCATTAAAACAATTAGAAAAAATAGGAATAATTGAAAATAAATTAGAAATATTGCAAAAGTGCGAATTCTTGTAAATGTATGCATATATTTCTTTATCAAGTATTGATAACAAACAAAGGTATTACTTACTTTTGGTGGAATCGCCATTCCAGTTGAGCCTACGCGAAAGACATTGAGCAACTTGGCTTTTTCCACGACCTGGTAAACCACACATTGCTATCACAACTCCTGCAAATTTACGCGGGGATTTCATTATTCCCTGCGTCCTTATATTGATTTTATCCTTGTTAGGTTCTGAAAATAACAGAAAAAAATGATAAATTGCCAGTTATTATATAATTATATATTTTCGTCAATCAATTCATGTATCGCTATCGTGATTTATTAAATATTCTTTATGAAACGAAAGTGGATACAAAAATATATACTAGTTATAAAATTAACGATCGTATACGATTAAAATAGACATATGATTTTAAATTTTTTACATGTGTAAGTTACTCGTTTTTATATACAATGATCCACTTTAAGATATGCACCAAACTAACAATGATAGAGCTGGCATTGTTCCAAACTAACCAGCCACTATTTGAATGATCACTAAGCACGCTTGTGACGTGTATTCACCGAATCGAATTATAATATTGTGACAATATTTAAGAAATAAATTATTGTATTATGTATTTTGAAATGAGATTTATAAATTTCGTTTTTCAAAGTATTTCTTTTCCTTTTTCTTTTATAAAAATATTAAAATGTTTTGTTTCATAAAATATTCAATCTTTCATGGAACAAAATAAATCATGAATTTTACATTCAATGAAATTGCATATTATTCAATTAACACAAGCTATGTTTCATTCGGATCAAGATCCCTTTCACTATTGATTAGTCGAAAAAAAATACGAAAATAATCCTTACCGATCATACACATGTTTTACAGTATATTATAATGTCGTTTAATCTTCGATTTTAAACTAGTATTGAATCGATAATGTTAAATGGTATCGATAATGGTAAATGCTATTAGTGAACAACTCGTAAGCGTGCGAATTACGAACAAGTACTGATTGCCTTCGTATTAGTTCCCACATTGCCAACGTTAGTGAATTTTATATTTAGAATTCTCGTTGCACGAGTACTTTTGGCTGCATTTTCATTGCCGTTGCTTTTACATTATTAATTTCAAAGGTAATTCTGTTTTCCATATCTTCAATATTCTGATTAAGCTCTTTTATTCAATTATTATAATATAAACGTTCTAATTGTTTCATGAGCATAAAGAAAATAAGTTTAAAAATAGAATTTAAATCTTGAAATATAACTTATCTATCTATTTATATATAGTACATAATAATAATAATAATAATAATAATAATAATAATATCTATCTATATATAGTACACAAAATGTTAGAAATATAAAATGAATTAAAGTTCATGTACAAAAATAAATATAAAAATTTCTGGAAATTATTATTATTGTTATTATTAACCCAATGTTTATAACATAAAGAAATCAATGTGGCAAAAAACGGGCAAAAAAATATTATCTCATTTCATAAAAAAAATATTAAATAGATACATGATAATTATACTTTCAATATATAATTCAATTTGTTCTTAAATAAAAAAATCGAAATTTACAAAAATGATCAATTTTTTGCAAATTAATTTAACAAATATACGATAGATTTTTATTATTAAAACGAAAATATATATGCCATGAAACAATTTTATCATATGTGATTAATTTTTACTTATATGTTTGTATTTTTTAGCTTAGATAATATTAACAAAGTTGTATTAATTACTTATATCTTAATCTCGGGATCAAAGAGTTCATGTTTTTTGTTACCTATTTAAAACGATTCATTACAATCAATATTGAAATACAAAACGCGTCTATAGAAAACGGATGTTTTTTCGACACCAATGATCGTATGATCTAATACATTGTTTCATAATTCAAAATGAAACATCAAGTGTTACATATATGAGATTATAAATCTATACGATAGTCAATCGATACGGTTGCTCGAGTATATCGCACGATGTGTTTTACATCGAGAATAATCATGAAATAAGAAGTTTAATAGTTGGTGCGTTGACCTGAGACTTCTATCGTTATTCGATTCATTATTCAAATCATGTCGGACGCACATGCGTGTCCTTATCCGTATAGTCATCGCGTTATTCATTTTAATGCAAGTACACACCTGTAAATGCAAATATTAATGATAAAAAATTATATTATATTTGTGAAATAATATTGAACTAATAATAATTCGAATTAATAGACGATAAATAAGAATTTTTCGATAAAATTAATATTTAAAAATAGATTTTTTTTGTCCATTTCATTCTTTATATTATATTATTTCTTTGTATACTTTTACTCTTATACAAGTTTCATACGCAGGATATAAACGAGGTCAGTGGCGGAAAATCGATAATCGGCTTGGTGTAGGAAACTTTGTTCGTTGCATCAGAACGGGCAATGCAATATGAACTACCCACGCGTATTGGTATATACATGTATCCAGGACTTTAACGATTTTTTTGAAAGGAAAAAAATCATCATTGTTTTAAAAAATTCATACGAGCTAGATATCCTTAAAACATCGTACGATGACTTAAGCAGCATGATAAAAAGAAGAGAAAATCATTTGATAAAGAATTGGAACAACCGTAACAAGTTCAAGATAAGAAACATTTGCGTCAACTAAATGTAAAACATTTTACGATATGATACGGACTTTCATAATTGACTATCAGCAATTATGTATTTTGCCTTTAGTATTTACTTACATATCGTATGCATTTGCAAGGACAGTATAATTGGCTTAACCACAATGCATGACTATATAGCTATACACAAAGGTAACAATTTATGGCACACCCTTGATCGTGATGCTTTTAGGATTATTAGCATGAAACTTACAATGATGTGTATACAATATTTTCTCATTTCAAAAGCGACTTTAATATCTCCCCATGGAATATCCTTGACGAGATTTTTCCTTTCGTTTCTTTCTCTTTCTACCCCTTCCATGTTTAATCCTTTCACGCTTTGTTACGAGGTTAATCTCTAACGAATTTTTACGTTCTTTAAAATATTAATAAAAATTGTTGTTTCTATCGTATCACCGGCTCTATTAGATTAGATTAAAATATTAATCGCATGTCTTAAAATATATTTGACATCTACTTGATGTTACAATAATTATCTAAATATCAAAGACACGAGGATTTTGTTTTATTGATTTACTTCATCATTCAATACATGTGTTTAGTATCTATTGTTAATTTATTTTATTGCAAATGCTAATAATTCATTATTATCATTTTTTATAGACCTTTGGATTTCATTCTGATATATTAAATTTTAATATTTACTACAATATACTAGAATATATTAGAATTTACTAGAATATATTACTAGATCATTTAAAATATTTAACAGAAAATTTGTTTTATTGAATTTAAATATGATTTTATATAATTGTATATATAATTGCAATGAAGATATATCGTATTTGTTTCAAAATTTTAAAAATATTAGTCTGATTTATTCCAAAAACCATAAAATTTTTAAAAAAAACTTAGATAAATGTAAAAAAATTCTATTTTTCTTTGAATACAAATAAATGATCAAGTACAATGATATGAGCGATAATCGATTTTCTCGATATGATTTGTTCATTTATTTTTCTTATTGCTGGTAGCCTTCATTTTTTCTCATGCCAATTACATTTTTTTTATTGATATAAAATTTATCGTTATTAAAACAAAGATTAAGGGAATCGACTGTACAACGCAGAAACGCCTCTTTGAAAGCATGATTGATTGAGTAATAATAAATGACAAAAAAGATGAGATATTAATTATCCATACATACATAAAAAGATCTTAATTATTTGAACATCTTAATAAAATGAAATAAAATGAAATAAAATGATAATTGCAAAAGGCAATTGTAAATATTTCTTTTATTCTTTTAGTTTTTTAATGAAAAATACATTACATTTATCTATTGTATGAATTATTTGTTAAACATCAAGAATTTTTATTTGTCAAGCGAATTTCGGATAGTCGCCATGAATATCTATTTATTGCGTCTTATTTATAGCGGAATCTAATTTAATGCAGAACTCAGTTTTGTGAAATTATAATTTAATTTTCTAAAAAATAAAAAAGAAACTGATTCTAAGAAAAAAACATGAAAACAAATATGATATATAAAATTTATGTAGAAAAATATCGAATAAACAAATAATAAAATTAAATATCATATTCAGAAACTTTTTGTTAAATTTACATTTATATATATGCAATTGCCTTTTTATATGCAACTTAATGTTTTCGCGATGAGAAAACTACGTTCTTTTCAAATATTTCGCAATAAGATTCAAAATGCTATTGAATAATCTATCGAACGTGACACGAGTAAATAATACCAACAAGAAGAAACTTATATTACTAGTGTTCCATTTAATCATTTTACCTTGACGTTGTTCCTCAGCACTCGGAGCCATGGTCTCACTGCTCAACGAGTTTTTCTTCGACGTATTGGATGAATTAGCTGCCTGTCGTATGATTGATTTATTATTCTCTTCCTGAAAAATTCCGGCTTGCAGTGCTAATTTTCTTATGGCCAGACAATAACCAAGAATCGGTGCCAACAGGTCAAAACAGGTAACGACCCAGGGCATAACACGACAAAAGATTTAGATTTATTGCTTCTTCTCACGGTGAAAGGCCAGTAAGTAGACAATAACAAAGATGAATGAAATCCTGGCAACACTTTTACTTGAAATATCCAGCGAGCGAGAGCCCTCTATTTGTATAGAATACTCGTAAACAATGGCCTATTGCTAGTTTTCTTTTTATTTCTTCTGCCGTTTTCTTTTAGGCTAAAGTTCTTCCGAAAAATGATCGCTGCTTGTGTGCCGGATTATGGACAACAAGTCCTCCCTCATTCCAATTTGCTTGATCCTCACCTCCGGAGCCAGTTTGCGTGCTTCTTTGTCTTTGTTTGAAGAAAAGCCCAGTTCTCCGCTTTTTTTTACTTTTTTTAGTAACCCTCTATGTACCCTTGATTTACCTAATCGTTTTATTGTCAGCAATTTTTTTATCACGTTGCTATTTCGTTGTTTCGTATTGTTACTAAAGAATGTGCTCGGCTGTGCGCACGCGCTGCCACAAGTATTTGTTAGTAGTTTACATAGTCACGGTGCTGCTTCACCGTCCTCTTGTACGCCGGTGTCCCCTTTCGTCTCCTCTACCGTCTTCAATTTAGGTATATTTATATTGTAAAATATATCTCACCCTTTTGTTCTTTCTTTTTTCCTTTTCCACCCAAAACAACGTAGTTATATTTGGACACTGGTTGAATCAATTTTGAAATTTGCTTTCTTTTAATTTTATCCACCAAAACTTTCGAATATAACTAGCGATATTTTTATGTTGTGCAATTCTTCGATATATATTTAATACCGTATGTTGGAAATCTGCCTGATGTCTCACAGTTGCGTATATAGTGTGAACAACGAAGAAAATGTTTAAAAATCGAAGTGAAAACGAAATAGAAATGATTTTTATGAGACGTGAAAACGTTATCTCTACTCAAGACGACGAGGTTTCAATGACTGGTGTTCCTTGACTTGCTGCAGCTTTTAGCAACATCGACCCGGACTCGGTAGGCTCTCTGTTGAAACTAACCAATCAGAAATACGTTGACCCCTCCACTTTTGTGTGGCAATCATGTTGAGCATATGTCGGATGTATTCACGTTTACTGACAAAACTTTAATATTTATTAGACAGAATAACTTTTGTCAAAGTGATTTTTCCAAATAATTTTCTGAAAAAATTAATCAAAATTAACAAAAATATGAAGATATTTAGTGATATTTTTTTGAATAGTGCATTTTTTTTACATTAAAATCATCTAGAATGAACAAACAAATTATTCCATCGAATATGAATAGTCGTTGTAACTTTCCTCAGGTATGTTTATATTTATTTTCTAATTTTATTTAGATTTTATAATAAAAAAAGATTTTATATTAAAAATTAACAAATTGGATACATGATCATATTAATTTTTCAAAACGATGACAAGATAAATCATTCTTAAAAAGTCAATTAGAATTGTTTTCGGTTGAAATGAATTGTTACCAGAACATTCCCTTTGCCCCTCTCAATTGTTGAACGTTATGGCTCATAAATTATTACCGTAACATGTCACGTAATTCTTAATAATTCTTAATTCTATGGTTTAAACATTTGCTCATGTTTCTTAGACGACAGTTTGTCGCCACTGTTGGTTATTATTTATTGCATGCAAAGCAGATACAGATGACATATTATGCGGTTCGTTTGAATCGAAAACAAAATTGTAATAATAAATGACGCTTGTTTATAGAAAAGCGAAAAACTTAATAAGTTTTGTCTATTACGATGCAATTACGTGACTATTTTAATGATATTATTATCATCCTAATTATTATCTAATGTCGGAATCGTTCATAGATCGACCCTCTCTTTTCCTTTGCTGTTAACAGAACAAAGTCCATATTTATTTCTTCCATTTTTTCTCGATGATATATAATGAACACGAGCGATCAGATATAGTATATTTAACGTCATTATTGTCAAACCATTACGTTTTAATACGATATGAATCGTGGAAATTGTTCATGCATTGAATCATGTAATTTTTTTGAATTCGTTGCATATATTTAATTATAATTTTTATTATTGTTTTACTTTCGAAAAAGTTTTATATAAATATAAAACTTTTATCGTTTGATGATTTGTATAATATTTCCAAGAAAATAAATCACATATGTATCAGTGATAAATATTTTGTGATTTATTTGAAACTTTTCAATTAATATATAATTTTATTTGGTTATTCATTTCGTTCATAAAATTTTATTATATTAAGAAATGTTGAATCATCGTTTTGAATTCGTCATTGTTAAAAAAATATTACTTTATTAATTGCAAATTATTATTATTAATTGCAAATTTCCTATATTTTCCATTTACTAAATAAAACGTTTATTGTATATTTATAAAATCTTTTATTTTTTTGAAATTATTGATTTTTGTATCCAAACTTGTATCCAAAACTTTTCCGAATTTCAGACTTTTGAAAATTCTGATTCATATATAATTCCCACAAATAGATTGATTTCTTTTTTTCATTATTGTATAATTTATTAAATATATAATACATATATATACAATAATTATATACAATTATATACAATATAATTACATAAATAATATTAAATTATTAATATAAATATTAATATAAATATAATAATTTATTATTTTTTTATTATTTAATATAATTTAGTTAATTTAATTTAATTTATTTTTAATTTAAATTTAATAATAAATATTTGTTTAAATTTTTGTTTATTCAAAGCAAAAAAAAATTGCGTCGTAACATTCATGACACGAGTCATGAAAATCAAAAATTCCGATTTTTCTTTATTTATGTCAAATAATATCAGACTTCTTACTTAGATTCACAAATTTTGCTTGCACGTGATATACATATGCTACGAATATTATGTGATAAAATAATGAAAAGGTCATGAACGATCGGGAATAAAATAAAATCTAAGCTCTTTATAACTAAATAGACACATATGAAATGTTAACTCAATTGAGAAGAGAATGTCGAATCATCTAGAAACAGTACTTCGGTTTAGAGGATCCTCGTTCCAAAAGCGTTACTGCCAAGAAGGTGTGCCTTGTCGGTCAATTATTATAAATAGAATAATGCCCCTAACAATTCGTTGTATTAACGCACTGACAATTTGTAAAGTTGAACGATTCTTTTGAAGATCACTTTAGAACCATTAAAACCATCTGGAAGCATTTATTAAAAATTATCAAAAAATTTAAAATGATCTAATTTCATTAATTCTTAGCACTTCAAATAGTTTAAATTGATATGACATAAGTCAATAAAATTAGAAATTATATATAAACATATTTTAATAAAATAAGAATGATTCTTAATTTGAATTTTTTATGTAACTCCATTGCTTTTTAGTTTCTGATAGAGACTAAAGATGGCAAATCAATTTTGAATCGATATATGAAGTTGTACTCGTCTGCCATCTCGTGGCGCTACATAGAAAATATTTATCGTACCGATATAACATGGCGTTCACGTTGTGGGCACTTTTCGAGGTAACCGTGTTATGTTTGAATGCGGTCTGTATTTTGAACGAAGAGAGATTTCTTGCGAAAGGTATATAATTTTATAATTATATTATATTTTAATTTATTTATTTGTTCCTATTACATTTTTAAATTTATAAATGTTGAATGAAAAAATTTGTTGGTTAGGTTACATTTTGTACTTATATTTTATTATAGATAAATATATAATATATATGTATTTACTTACTGTTTTTGTTTACTTTAATATTTCTTTAATCTTTTATTTTAAATTTTTTATTAGTTGGCTGGGCATCATGGCAAAATGTTCAAGGTTTTGGAGAAACTGCTACAGCTAAATCACAAATTTTAAATCTTATTAAATCGATACGAACGGTAGCACGAGGTATTAATAAAAAATTATTTGGAATGAATTTTATGATTAATTTAAATGTATAATGTGTTCTTTGTTACAGTTCCATTGATATTTTTAAATATCATAACAATAATTGTGAAACTGGTGCTTGGTTGAAAGAAACAATTGATGGTGTAAATAAGAGGACAATGCACAGTGAAAAGTCAAAGCGTGATGTACATAAATGAACAATTAAATTCTTTTATTTTTAACGCTGCATTAATAAGTAAAATGATTCTAATTATAATACATTCTTAAATATTTTTATAATGCAACTATTTTAAAAATGTAACAATATTTCTTTTCATTTCTACGAACGTTCTTATATTATTCTTTTATATTATATCGTTATTCTTTTATATTATATCGTGAAATATCAACTATTTATTTATATCATTAATTATCTCTTTTTATTTTTACTTTATTTTTATTTTTAATCATAAAGATAAGGATAAAAAATTTTTCTGCACAAGATAATACAATAATATATATTCAATTTTTTATCATATCAGAGTATACATATTTACATATTTTAATATTCATTTAAAACAAATTATTTCGAATTTTTTAAATCATTATTTTTCCATATGATCCAACAGTTCCTGTTCCACTTACATTAAACAACATCTGTTTCCTTCGTTTCGCCAATAACTACAAATAAACATACATCAACTAGCAAAACACAACATCAACAAGTCTATAAAAAGAAGTTCATCATGTGATTTCGACGTATACCGTAAGTTGCATAATTTCAACCATTTTATTGCTGTACAATAAGTAATTAAAAACTACTTACGTTAAAAGAAATGATTATTAAAAGTTAAATACAAGAAATATTTATTTTAATTCTATTTACTTAAACTATTTGTTAGAATCTTATATTGTAAATGTTTTGTTTTCTTAATTAACCGATTAATACTTTATCCTTCATAAAAAAAATAAGAGAAATTTAATCTCAAACGCTAGATTATTGGTAGATTATCGGTACATTGACATCGGTACATGAACTTCCGGTACATTTCTTTTTGCTACGGATAACCATAAAAATCATAAATCAAACTACAAATGAATTATAAATTATATTCGATGTTATGGAAGATTCAAGTAGTTGGCCATGTTCATCTTCTATATTTACAGACGATGTAATGGTGCACGCGCGCGCGCGAGAAACCGATAATTTTCTCGTAACTTTCTCCCCTTCTTCGCTTTCTCAGGGTAGAAGTATCTCCATGCAATCAATGAACAAGTGTCACGTCGACTTTACATTCTATCATTTGTCGTGACGTCTTAATTTTAATCGCATTTAAAACGTATCATATTCTATATTTTTTTTTATTTAAATTCTATTTTTAAAAAGCGAGTATAATTTTTTCACGACTTATCTTAAAATATGAATATTTATATTTATCACATTTTAAATAAATCCAATGAATATGTTAAATCATCACGGAAATTCATTTGTTCGTGTCTGCTTAATCTTACATTAGAAATGATAAATAAATTCCAATCATTTCAATTTTCATTGCGTTTAATTTACACCGACGATTAATCTTGGATGCGTTCGCGGTAGTTTCGAACGGAAATCTTAAGGCAATATTATAAAAAATTAGTTATTTCTGTTTGATTTCTTTCACCGCAATAGTTGCAAAGGTGATACACGCGCTTGTGCAATCAACCAATTTGCACAATTTCTGGGCACACATGGACCCCTCTTAAAATTGCACCGCTTTTTTACCCCGTGTACTTTCCACAGTTGCAATTGCAAACTGCATTCCCGACTCCTTCGTCCAATACTTATCGACTTACATAACTGTAGATTCTCATTGGAGAGTTCGTCTTTCCTTCTTTTCTCATTTTTTTCACGAATGGCCGAAGCTGTTCGATTCTCCGCTATTAGCCGTGTGGATTCACACATGTAGGTTTTGATTTTTCATGGAATACAAATTTCTTATATAACGATTATCCTTCGTTTGTCGAAGAACATTGAATATACTCAGTACATACATTATCATATTTAAAAATATTTAATCAATTATTAGATAAAGTAAGATAAAGTACGCAGAAGTCAAATTGATTAACTTCATCAAGTCAAATCATTTGAATTAAAAAATTGAGCAGAATGATATTTAAATGTAGAAATTTAATGAAATAAGATAAAGAATGAAGTACAATACGATCTACTGTTTTTTATTAGACTATAAAAATATGATAAAATGTATCTTTAACTAACCATTTATAAAAATAAATACTTCTTTCAGTGGATTATGATGGAATAATTTTAATCAGTCGTGTTTATGATATCAGAAATAATTGGCGCCAATAAAGATAAGAAAGAAAAAAGGGATATTTGTGAAATTTTTTTCATAATGAATTCCTGGTTTTTTTTTTTTTTTTTTTACCAAATGAAATTTTGCTAGTTTCAAACATAATTAAATAAATGAAGAATGTGACTAATCAGCCAATAATTCTTATCTAGTCCCATAATTATAAAACACGACATACTCGAACAGATTAGAAAAAAATAAAAAGAACTCGTCCATCCGCACATTAATGAGAACAGGACCCGTATGTTAAGCAATTGGCATCAACTGAAAAACTTGTGTCGCGGAAACGGGATTAGCGAAAGTAAAACAACGAGCAGGACCATTGTAAATGTGCACGTTTTACGAGCTCGACAAATCCTCTTCCCATAATTGGCCGAGTGGATCGCATTGTGCGTCACCATGCTCGCGTTTTTCTCTCCTTTCACACGCCGCGACTTCTTTGCCGTTGATAGATCGTATGATTACGCCTTCTTCGTGGAAAAAGTTCATTGTAAATTTTGAAAAAATAAAATAATTAAACTTAATGAGAAATATTTGTTTTAAGAAAGCAAAATGTATATCGCAAGAGACAAAAATTGTATGCTTGAAAGTATACGAATATTTTCACTCATTTAAATATTCTGAGTTGAATATAGTTTAGATATATATATATATATATTACATGTTTGAAATTTTAATATATAAATTTTCTTCTTTATCATTTAGGTAAACGTTTTACGTAACTGTGATTTTGAAAAAAAGAATCCTTGGGGCATGTAATCTCACCCTACAAGTTTGAACTGGAGCATGGATGGATCTCGTTGCGTGCGCGTTTTTCTTCCTTTCGCACGGCTTCTGCCTAGCAGGCACGTTTATGGATTATGTACAGCTCTTACAAAATTTCACGGAGAATCTCACAGTTCCTCTTCTTCTCTCCTTTCCCCTTTCTCGACCTCGCCATCCCTGGAAGAGGCGTCGCACTTTCCCTGGACTTCGTACGTGGTACGAAGAATACGTAAGTCTTTCTAGAATGGCTGAATCGAAATTGATATTTCGATTTTCTCATGGTTAGCGAAAAAATAATACTTTCTCGAATTCGAATATTTCTTTGTGAATTATAAAAAGACAATGGCGTCAAAATAGAGAGGATAATTTTGATTATTTAACAATTGCACATCATATCAAAACGTGCAACTGAAATTTTTTCTTGCGAGGAACCAGATGGCCGAGCATAAAAAACGACAGCTTAGTAACAAAGCTGATGTTTCGATTGCTACAAATCGCGAGGAAAGATTCTACGAGAGAATAGATTAGATAGAAGCGATATCTTCTCTTTTCTTGTTCAACAACTTCCGCTCTTTCGATATTAATTTTTCATTGTCTATAATATCTTCCAAATCATCAAATATTTGCTTGATTTGATTTCTGAAAAATGCATTATATTTCTCTTGCGCAAAGTCTGCAAGATTAAGCGCGAAAAAATTAATAATGCAAAATAGAGAGAAACATCCCAGCGTAATGATTTAATTTAACTCTAATATAGGGTTTGCGATATATTCTTCATCATCATAGTGTGTTTAATTGCACTAGCCTCGCATTGTGAGATGCTGGTTGATTACTCAATTCTGCTTGCTCTGATTACTCAATTTCTAATTACTTGATTTACAACGAACTCGATCGAATCGAGATTACTTCGAACATAGTCAGAATTTTCTATTCAAATATTATTATCGATTTGAATTATACTTTCAACTAGAATGTATCTTAATAGATGCATCGTCCATTCCTCTCGTTACACGATATAAATCTCATAAGGCAGGGACGATGAGCTTCTCCAATGAAGGAAATTCTCATGAATTCTCAGCTGACTTAATAAATCTGTTACGTGTACCGATTGCATAAACAATGAAATCTAAACACACGTAAGCGATTTAATGCGGCGTATCACAACTCATTACTCATCCTTTAAACGTTTCCATTATAGTTGTATATTATATTGAATCGCATGTATAAAAGTTTCCGGTAATTTTTGATAACGCATTTTCCATCGTGCGGAATTTCCATCTGCAATGGAATTTTATTAATTTCGCTTTCGAGATACCGGTCGATTATTTTACTTCTCGAAAAATACATTTAATGACGTTAAATTGAGAGTACGTAAAATGTTGAAGAACTCGCGAGGCGAGTAGAATAGCGAGGCGAAACCACTTTCGAATCCCTGACCGGTGTCCAGACTTCTTCGGCCTGCTTTGCGAGCATCTGTTAAACGCTGGTCGTGAGAATTGACGTCATGTCCAGGTTGGAGAAGCTCGTGTGCCCCTCGGGAAGGGAGGAGGGGCTGAACCGTTGGTTCTGATCGGTGCAGTGAAAGGAGAAAGGCGGCCGATGGACAAAAAGGAAAAGAAAAATTGATCGTCTTTAAAGGAGGAGGAATATTCACGTAGCTGCGGGCGAACACCCAGGGGTCACGAGTGGATCGGGACCTAGAATAAAGATCCAAGTCGTAAGATTCGAAAGAAGAGAAGAGAGATCGGTCGAAGGGAAAGAGAAATTAAGAATAAGGAAAGAACGACGAGAGCTGGAGAGAAGAGTTGGAGAGAAGTACGCGAAGACGAAATTGAACACAGATGGTTGTTTCAACGGTGGCGACGTTTTTTTTTATTTTTTTCTACAAAAAAGCCTTTATACAAGTATAAAAAAATGCGTGGTTAAGGAGTAGCGTTTAAGACATATAAAAAATATAATGTATCTGTGTGTTTACGTGTATATTCGTGTCAGCGTCCGCTACGTTTCTCGATTTTCATTTTCTTTTGATCCCTTTTTTCTCTTTTTCCTTTTTTTTCTTTTTTTAATTGTCCAATACGTTAGGCATCATTGATCTTTCTTGGAATAACTGTTAGGCCAGATTCGATGACGTAGGCGTTCAGTTCCTCCTCGTACTCTTGGATGACGTAGCGTACGCTGTGGAAAGCGTGTAAATTGTATTTACAAGGCGCTTCTATGCGCCGATCACGGCTTCGACTTCGGCTCCGGCACCACGGCTATGTACCATTTCGAAGTCATAACGAATGGTGGTAACATTGAATCTCTTTTGAGATCGTTTTCTATAATAATTTGTTTCTCTTTTTTTTTCTTTTCTTTTCTCTCTTTTTTTTTTTCTTTTTTCTTTTTTCTTTTTTTGCGACAGCTCGTTTTTATCACTTGATACGTTAGATCCCTCGTGGATCCGACCGCGACGACGATGATTTTGGTACGATAAGAAAACGACACCCCGTCGACTCTCGGATCGTTAAATCTAGCAGCCGGTCGTTCGAACCGTTTCAAGTTCACTCCACGAGCCCTGACCCGTTGAAGCGACGACCTTTTATTCCTCAACGAGCCAAAGATCTGGAGCTTTCGTACTTGCCCTTTAGCACGCACGCCCGCGATTCCTTCGAGGATCGTGGCCCGTTGAAGCGACGACGATTTGATTTCAACGAAACAGGATCCTTTGGAATCCCTGCTCGATGTTACCTTGTACGTACTATCCTTTGTGATCTTATTTTCCTCCTTTTATTTCTCCCCCTTGAGAATCCTGACAACGTCGAACGACCACGATATTCGTGTTCGAAAATAGGATCTATCTTTCTATCTTCTAATATTCTTCTTAACGATTTATCCGTCTTACGACCATCTTCCGAGCGGAAGGTTTTTGGGGAAGAATCTCGTTTGGAAAAAATATCTTACTATCGATCGACTGTGTGGTAATCCTGGTTCTCCTTGATCGGCTCCTCAATCGTCTTCCTTCTTGCTTTCGTTGATGGAATATTTTCAGCTCGGAAGATAATCGCGGTGGTCGACGCGGTGTCTCCACTCGCTCTCTCCCTTTCGCTCCTTCTTTCTCTCTCTCTCTCACTCTCCCATCATCCAATCTGCATTTGTATAGTCCGATGATCCGCATTTAGTACGGTGCACCGTAGCTACCGCTTGGTCTGCTCGGTACTCCGTAGCTTCCGCTCGGGCCGCTTGGATAGCCGCCAGGCGCTTGGCTCACTTGGTTGAACTGGGCCACCTGGATGGCCTGCCTGATTCCATCGAGATCGATGCCTACCACGCGGGTCTGGTAACTCGGTACACCGTAGGATGAGCTTGGCACGCCGTATTGGGAGGATGGGGCGCCATAGCTCGAGCTAGGAGCGTAACCACCGCCGATGCCTCCTCCGAATCCGCTGTTCTGCTCTTCCCTCAGCAGGATCTGACGGATCTGTTCGAGCAACGCGCCGTCGATGGATGCTCCCTCGCTGGTTTGATAGCCGGTGGACACCGAGGTATATCCACCCCCGCCGTGCAAGAAACCGCCACCGCCGCCGCC